TAGTATTTTAGTTCAGTGAGTGTGAGCTCTATCAGTTTAATTCTAACTGTATTTAATACATTTATATATGTGTATTAAAATGTAGTGAGCAATGGTATATTCATTATTCATATAGGGAATGTGTTGCCGTACAACAATACGGTAAAAGCTTATAAATAGCATTCACTAATATAAATCGTTTCTTCAAAGTACGTGCAACAATAAAACCGAAAAATAAATTTTAACTATATATTATAGTTGTCTGTATTTTTCTGTTGCATCGTACATCATATTTTCATCACCACTCGTTGTTTTTTTTCCTTGGTTATATTTCGTTTTGGCCACTTATCTGACCCAGAGTCATCTTACGCAGTGCTGAACTAAAATAACCAGGTGTCTATTTTATTTTATTGGTTAGGGTAGGTTTTATTGGTTTAGAGTACATTCGTGCCACCTCACCATCTCGACGGTTAGGTACAATTTGGGTTAAATTTATGGGGATGCTAGATTTACGTCGAGTTAAGTGGTCAGTGGGGATCTGAGCCGACACCCCCTCATTTCTTACAACTTATTTTTTTTACACATTCTCATTAATCTTAATATAAACAACTATCTATAACTTAATACACTTTTATCTATATTATTATTCTGATAGGTACCTATGCATATTGCATAGGTAATACAGATAGCAATCTAGGCTCTATGGGTAATACATGTAAGTATTATTATTATTGTTATTATGAAAATGATAAGGTCTTAGAAATAAATGTTAGCAAATACCTATGGCATAATATTACAGCCAATAAAGATTCGATGATACTAGCAAAAATTGGGGGTGCTAGCACCCCCCCCCCCCCAATTTCGCCTTTGTGTGAAATACTCATACCTAATAAAATGATAAATAGGATTAAACAAATATGTAAATAATAAATCATAATAGAAAGCTGTATATTATTTTATACCTTATTTATATTTTCAAATAAATAATATAGTAGGTACTATTTATATAACCAGTTAGTTATTTGCTAGGAATTAGGATTACTAACTAAACATTTTAATATTTTTTGCTTAGTTCCGTTTAATTTCTTCAGTTCTTGGTTTTTATTTACTTAACTATACGTCTATATAGTCTACACTGTCTTTGATGCAGCCTGCATCTCTTCGCACCATTTTTTTGAAGTAAGAAACAAATCACCTAGATACAAACAATAGTTATTTTGGTCAATCATTATTTATTTTATTAATTTTGTTACGTCAAGTTAAATTCATCAAATAATTTATAAATTAGCTGTTTTTGAGATTTTTTATATTTATAAATTAAATAAAAAAAAGTATGAAGTTACAATGCACACGAGCTTTAGGTACCCTATATTCTAAAAATATTGTCCGTTTTTTTCTAAAAGATAACTGAATATCGCTCATATAGTTCTGCACAAGAACATTTCAATTAAAACAAAGTAATAAACTAAAACTAGTCTTAGAAACCTATAAAGGTACTCGTTAATGTGTATGGCGTAATTTTAAAGGTTACCTTTTGTCTCATAATGAAGCAGGTGTAAAGAATATAAACAAAATACAATAAGCCCTAAACGGCATAAACACACAATTATCAGATATTAATTTATTATTATTTTTTTTTTTTATTAGGGTTGAGCTGGCTTCGACAACATAGGTCATTAGTCTGTGGTACTGTAGGGGGGAACTGTAGGTTGTTAACACGTGTATGTGTTTTGGCAGAATTTTCGATTTGAGCACCCGTTGGTATCTGCCATGCCCGGGAGGGAGATGGCGGCACTTCTCTCTGGACACTGTGACTTGCCCGAAGAAAAATGCCGCCCGTGACCATGGGATCGAACTGGCGCCGGCAGCGTTGCAACCGACGCCTTAGACCGCTCGATCACTCCATCCCCCATATTATATATTGTAGCACCTCCAAGCTAGACTATTAAACATTATAATTTCATTGAAGATGGGTCAAAATTAAATTTTTTCGAACTTTTGGTATTTTAAAAATGTATCGATAATAACTTTTAAAATATAGGTAGAACTAGTAAAATAAACTATGGAGGTAAACTTTTTTTACAAAAGTTCAAATTAGTCTACTGTCGTGCATAAACATTATTAACTTGATTGAGGTTGGATTCGAAATTCAGTTTGGTCGAACATCGAAGTCCTTGAATTTCTAAAATGTTGAGTTGAATAATGGTATGATAATTTTATCTGACAACACATTTTAGAGCAGGAATTTGTTGGTGCAATATTCAACGTTAAAGGTGGTTTCTGGTATCAAATTTTATCAAGTTTATACTTAATATATTATATAGGATTCAAAAATGAAAAATAATACTTTTATTAATAATTTGAAAAATATAATATGACAGCGTGACAGAGGGAAAATTGGAGCAATACCAGTTTTAAACCATAACATATTAATATTATAGAATCACTTTAATATTGAGTGATAATATACTAAATAGTTATTTAAATTATTAAACTGTAAATTAATAATTAAATTTTTTTGGTTACAATGTAATTTGCACAAAAATACGTACATTTCTTCTTTTCTTTTAAAACCTTTATCTGGTCGTGGTAGTATTCTTTTTTACATTCTAAAACAAAGAATTGCTTAGATAAAAATATTTTGGTACTTTGCTGAGTGAGATAATGCAGAGTAGACTACCTTAAGTTTATAATAATAATCATCCTTCTATGATTAGTTGATAGATTATCTTGACTTTTTTGTTAGCAATTTTCACTATTATACTTTTAGAGTAAATGGTTATATGTATCAATTTAAGTAGATTTGTCAATTTCGTTGTCTTGTCCATACTCTATTGGCTGGGGCAAGAATGCAAGATGGCATTTCAATGGGGCAATGGTGGATAACTTTTTAAGTTCTGTTTGATAATATTTTATCAATCTCAAAAACTTATTTCTAAATATCTAGTATTTTGGAGAACTACATACCACTGATGTCACTTCAGTTTTTATTAGACTAGAATAACCACTCACTGATTTTCCGACTCAAAATTTTTTTCACTCAGATTCACCGAGCATAGGGACATAGTGCGTGAAGAAGGGGGGGAAATGTTTGAAATCTCAGAATCGTTTTTTTCATATGCATTGGTTTATCATGAAAATTCAAATTCATCGCATCCAATTCAGTGAGCTTCTCAATTACGAGATATACTCAAAACCTACCTACATATATTATAGAAAATAACGACTTCAGTGTTATTTTTTTAACATGATTTTATATATGTATATATATGATTCTATATAAATATTCTAATCAAAAGTACATCAATTATAAATATAACAATATAGTAAAACCCTCTTCGCCCAGAATTGTTTTTCGTATACAATGGTTTTATATCATTGAATTAAAATTCAACCCATCCATTACAGTGACTCTCTAGATACATAATCTCAACAGAGCGTCAACAAATTACGAGTTTTTTTAATTTAAACCCTAGAAAAATTATCAACAAATAAATTACCATGCCAGGTTTTCATGAGGTCTTTAACAAAAGAAACATAGTACGTTATTACTTATTAATGTAGGACGCTTATGGAACTACACGTTAGGGAGCTATGTCATACGATTAGTTTGTATAATATTATATAGGAGATATTGTAACCTAATTCCAGGAACTTACCTTTTATTTTAAAATAATTTTCTAAACCTACAAAACAAAATAAGGTAACTAGTGTTAATTATAATTATATTTTTAAATTGTCCTTTTCAACATAGTAAAACTCAGATGATCTTAAATATTTTATTTTTTTGTCAAGTGAAAATTAAAAATTGTAATGGTTCAACTCCTTTTGGGTGTTACACGCTGTGGAAGCAATGTATTTTTAAGTGTAAATTATATTATATTTTAATGTACAGCCATAGCCCATAGGACAAGTTTTCAGTGAGATTCGCAGCAGTATATTATCAGGTAGGAAATCTACCTGCAATAGATCGAGGACCCGTTGTTTGTAAGAAAGTGTATATTTTAACTCTAAAATATTAAAGTTCAAAAATATAGGTTAGGTTAGGTTAGGTTAGGTTAAAAAGCAGCTCCCCCGACGGGACCCACCTTGACGTGGTGGGGGAGCTTGCGGGCCTTAAATGGCTTTACCAAGCGGTCCCACACCCGGCTGCGACCTTAACCAGTCGTAGTCGGAGCACAGAGAGCCGGTTCTTACCTTCACTGGTAGGGATCGGCAGGCTCGGAACCAGCCTGCACACACCTGCAAAGGCTCTGAACCGGCCCTGACCTTAACCAGTTGGGGCCGGCAAGGTCGGAGGTAGCCTGCTCCCGGACGAGCAAAGCCCTAAGGGAAGGAAATCCCCGACAGAAAAACCAGGCTAGAACTGTCCTCAACAGCCTCTCCAGAACGCGATCAACCCTGGAGAAGCAGCACGATCAGGACTCAACGGACCGGACGCAACGCAACGGGGGCCCGGTAAACCCCCGCCAAGGCACCGACCATCCACGGAAGCGGCGACCCGTGGATTACAAGCCGTTTGAATGATGGAGACAAAACTAAATGAAAATTGTACCCCAGGTGGTGAACCGGCCAAGCCGGGGAATCCACTCTCTGCGGAGACAGGCCCCACGGATTCTGGGGGGGGCCATTCATCAAACAATCAACAACCGAGCCCAAAGCTCAATGCTATGCTGACTGCATCGAGCACCAGCAAGGAAAAGCAGCCATGCATGCAGACGGTTATAGGAAACCTGAAGACCACTATCAAGCAACAATACAAGCAGATCAACGCCATGCTTGCAGCCATTGATCACCTGGCGACATGTCGGGAAAAAACAAAATCCCCTGTAGTAATGGATGCCATTGATCAGGCCATCAAATCGTCGGAGAGCTTAAAATCGACCACAACCAGCGTCCACAGCGCCTTCTACGAGGCGGAGAAGGCAGCTATCAGAGGGTCTAGCGACCAGAAGATCACAACAGCCGGGGTCGTGCCAGCCCTGGAAGAGAACAGAACTGCCATAAACGAAATCAGAAAGATGATAGAAAAGCAGGGTGAAGCAATAGGGGAGCTGTCACAACAACTGCAACAGCAACAACAACGGAACTTGCACGACGTTCAACCACCAGACCAGCCTACCTCCCCCAAAGTCTCAAAAGGACCGCAGAGGAAACAGAGGAAACAGACGTTTGCTGAAGCTGCTCAGAAAAAGGACACACTGCCGTGGCAGGGCCAACCACAGGACGAGCCATCATGCAGCAGCCATGCCCCAAACGGAAACCCTCCAGCCAGCGAGTGGAAAACGGTGAGAAACGGTGAGAGCAAGAGGAATCCTCGCCAAGCCCAACAGCAACAGCAACGGGAAGAGCCACGAGCAAAGACCAAGAATAAGAGGAAAGAGGCTGCCAGACTGGTGAAGAGCAGGACCCCAAAGACCGAGGCTATAATGATAGACCAACTGGCCGAGGGAGAAACCTACGCCTCTGTAATGAAAAAAGTTACTGCCATCGACCTTAACCCACTCGGTGTCACGGTGAGAGGTGCCAAACGCTCAAAGGCAGGCGGCATCATTATTGAAGTAGACGGAAAGGATGACGCCGACAGGCTTGCAGAAGGGATAAGGGAGGCCGTTGGAGCAGCAGCAGCTGTTAGGAGACCGACTAGAAGCACCCCAATTCTTATCCTGGACGTGCCAAACTGGATAGAGGAGGCGGAAGTGATTTCGCAGCTGGTAAACTTTGACAGCAGTTTCGGGGACTGTCAAATCAGAATATCTGATAACCAAGGAAGCCGAACAGCCTTTTGTAGAATACCGATGAAGGTAGCCTCAAAAGTGGCAGACGCTGGTAGAATCCGCATAGGCTGGGCGATGTGCAGAGCCAAACTGTTGGAGAGGAAGGACAGGGTGTGCTATAAATGCCAAGGGACAGGGCACGTAGCCGCGGCTTGCAACTCAGAGGCGAAACCGAAAGCGTGCTTCACGTGTAAATCTCTGGAACACCTGGCTCGAGAATGTGTTGCTCCACCAAGGGAGAAAACCAAACCGACGCAAAGCAGGACCCCGCCTCTACAATGCGAGGAGCCTGAGAGGAACCCTCCTCCAAATGATTAAATACATTCAATGCAACCTGAACCACTGCAAAGTGGCTCAGGACATGCTCCGGCAGCATGTGGCCGAGCAGCGCGTGGAGGTTGTGCTCATCACCGACCCCTATTCTGCTCCCGAAATAGCAACTTCATGGTTCACCAGCTCTGGAACCCAGAGAGCAGCCATTTGGCTCGCAGGTAACGCAGTCACCGCAGCCGAAATCCACAGAGATCCAGAGTTCGTGTCCGCCCGCATCAACGGAGTCCAGACTTTTAGCTGCTACGCTTCACCCAACAAGTCACGGGCCGAGTTTGAAGACCTCCTGCGGAGATTGGAACACAAGGTCAGAGCCGTCGAACCAGGGGTCCCAGTACTCATAACAGGAGATTTCAATGCGCGGTCAGCGGCATGGGGAGACTGGTGCCGCGATACCCGAGGAGAAGATCTGAGCACGCTGCTTAACTCTCTTGGACTGCAGGTCCTAAACGAGGGATCAAAGCCAACCTTTGTGGGTATAGGTAGAGGCTCTATAGTAGACATCACTGCCGTGTCCGAGTCCCTTGTGAGACGCGTCTCTGGATGGCGCGTGTGCGACGAGGTGGAAAGCATGTCCGACCATCAGTACATCGCGTTTCAAATAGAGGATACTAGAACCAGAGCGCCCGCAATCAGATACGAGCCGAGGGGCTGGAAGACCGAAGGCGAGATTAGCAGCCAAGATATGGAAATTGGACTTCTTTTGGCGAGGTGGACCAGCGATCCCACCCTGTTTGCGACATCTGCCAATGCCGAACAACGAGCCCAGGCCGTACACGAGTCCATCACTAAGGCCTGCGACTTCACCCTCAAGCGCATGGTTCCTAACCCTACGGGGAAACCTCCGGCTCACTGGTGGAACGAAGAAATTGCCTCCGAGCGAAGGAAATGCGTGGCGGCGAAGCGAACCAAAACCAGATGTGCCTCAAAACTCCACCGCAGCCGCGCACGTGGACAATACTCTGCTATTGAAGAGGAAACTGCAATCACCGCGAACTCAGCCTATAAGGAAGCCAGGAAAGGACTGAAAATCGCCATCGCGCAGAGCAAAAAGAACTGTTGGAACGAACTGCTAGAAACAATCGACAATGACCCATGGGGAAAACCCTACAAGCTGGTCGCTCGAAGACTACGCGGTCCTCCCGCAACGAGCAACATGGAACTCGAATCAGTACGACGAATCACGGAAGCACTCTTCCCCGTCCATCCCCCGATGATGATGCAAACTCTCGAAGTAAATGAGACGCCTCCACCCTTCACAACAGAGGAGGTTAACAAAGCGGTTGAAAACAAGCGGAAAAACACCGCCCCAGGTATGGACAACATAAATGGGAAAATAATTAGCGTTGTTCACCAGGTATGCCCGTCCATGCTACTGGGAATGTTTAACCAGTGCATAAAAGAAGGAGTGATCCCTTCCGGCTGGAAGAGAGCCCGCGTCATCCTCCTAAAGAAGGGCAACAAACCAGATGGGGAGCCTGCTTCATACAGACCTATCTGTCTCCTGAACGTGGTAGGTAAAGTATTCGAGTCCCTGTTGGTGGCAAGGCTACATGAGCACATTGCCGGTAGAGGCGGATTGTCCCGTAACCAGTTTGGTTTTACCAAGCAGCTGTCCACGGACGATGCGGTGAGGAAACTCCAGAGTACGATCCTAACGGAAATAAATTTCCCATCGTCAAAGTTCTGCGTGGCAATCAGCCTGGATATCAAGAATGCCTTTAACTCCATCGGCTGGAACGAGGTCATGCTTGCACTAAGCCAGGCCGAAACCCCCATGTACCTGAAAAGAGTCTTCCAGGACTACTTTTCCGGGAGGTCAGCCGAAACCTCGGCTGGAGACCAAAAAGTGGAGATACAGGTGTCGAGTGGCGTTCCGCAAGGCTCTGTCGTCGGCCCGCTTCTCTGGAACCTCGCCTATGATCGGATTCTCCAACTCCAACTCCCGAGGGGGTCCAGACTGATCGGCTTCGCTGACGACACCTTAGTCGTAAGCTCGGGCAAATCCATTCCAGAGCTGGAAACAACAGCCAATGAGACGCTCTCTTTGGTTTCCGATGAGATCCGGAACATGGGTCTGTCACTGGCAGTTCACAAAACCGAGGCGGTCGTGTTCTCCAACAAATACAAGTATGAAACCCCAAGGCTGATACTTGACGGGCAAACTATCCAGCCGAAGGACAAGATGAAATACCTGGGGATGATAGTGGAGCGCGGCCTACTCTTCAAGGACCACATCGTCGAAGCCGCATCTAAGGCGGAAAAAATGTCAAGCGCCCTAGGGAGACTTATGCCCAATATCGGAGGCCCAAAAGAGTCTAGAAGGAAACTTCTGTTATCAGTCACGACGTCGATTCTCCTCTACGGAGCACCATCATGGGCGGAGACAATGTCCCTGGTCCCGAGAAACAAATCACTGGTGAATGGCGTGCAGCGAAAGGCGCTACTCCGAAGCATCTGCGGCTACCGGACAGTTTCGGAAACAGCAACAAGCATCTTGGCTGGCACGCCGCCTGCCGACCTTCTGGCGGAGGAACGCAGTGCCTCGTTCAGCGAAAGGAGGTCTGGAGTACGCAGTGAGTTCTCTCCCCGCGCCTCAACAATGGCGAAGTGGAAAGCCCGCATCGCCGAGTCTACATCCGGTGAATGGAGCAAACGGTTAATCCCCGACGTTGAAAGGTGGTGCCTCGGCAAACAAGGGGACCTAGACTTTCATTTAACCCAAATCCTTTCTGGACATGGTTGCTTTGGAGTCTACCTCCACAGAATCGGCAAAGAGCAGTCAGACGCATGCCACCACTGCAACTCATGCCGCGACAGCGCGGAACACACGTTGGTCGAATGCCCGGCATGGGTCGAGGAGAGGCTGCAGTTGGAACGCGCGACCGGTGGAACGGTATCAGTAGACAACCTAGTGCCTGCCATGCTGTCCACTCACGCAAACTGGCAGGCCGTCAAAGACTTTGCCAGAGCGGTGATGAGTAAGAAAGAGTCTGACGAAAGAGACAGGGAGCGTCCAGGCGGACCAAGACCAAGGAGGGCTTAGGAGAGGATCAGACGACGCACGCGACATCCAGGGCGGCGGACTCCGGTCGGCCCGTCGAAATTTTCAGCACCAAGCACGAGATTACAAGGACGACGGACTCCGGTCGGTCCGACAAGACAAGAGGAGGAAGGCGTCACAAAATCAAAATTGAATGATGTAAATGATTGATGTATAACATGTTATGTCACCGATGGGGTAAGTCGGGGTATTGTCCCGTCTACCCCATCCGTATGTATAAATTGTTAATTTTTATTTAGCAATAAACGATGGCGGCGCCACGGACGCAATGCGAAAGCAGTCCCCGTGGCGTCGTCGATTCAAACACAAAAAAAAAAAAAAAAAAAAAAAAAAAAAAAAAAAAAAAAAGGTTAAAAAGCAGCAACTAATTAATTCACTTATAATTAACTTTTCGTTTGTAGCCGAAGGCAGATAACCGGTATGTACATTTGTTAAAATTGTCCTTTGTGATAGCCGGCGAGTGGGAGATTGGCCCACCGCCTCTAATATGTTTTGTTGTTGACATTTTTCAATAAACGATGTAGGCCGGAGGTGAACTAATGCTAACGCGTTCCGCCTCCGGCCTTCGATTCAACCCGGAAAAAAAAAGTTTAGGTTAGGTTAGGTTAGGTTTAGGTTAGGGTATATAAAGTTATATCTATAGTTGTCGTTTTTATTTAATTCAACCAACGGCGGATTAATAATGCAATCAATTAACACAAAATCCTAACCTGACCTAACCGTACTAAAATCCTATGAATAAAAATTATGTTTGTAAATTATGATTTATGTACTACATGATGTCCTGGGGGTACAAGTATAATTGTTGTTTGTATAAATTACGATTTGGTGATGAACATTGTTAGCGATTGATACAGAATAATATTGATCTATTTCCATGTATAAGGTACACTCATAGGTTAAATTTATTTCGGACATATTATTTTTCTCTGAAGTTTGTACTGTTATTGTTATAAGATGTATAATACATATTATGATGTATATCTATAGAATATGTATAACAGGGAATACTATTGTATGGTTATGCACAATAGTTTATTATTTTGGTTTGTTGATAATTGTCAGGTTTAGAGTAAAAACATTGAAAAGATATGAAAACATTTTTTTTTAAAAATGCTCTAGGTATTTGTTTTTTTTACATTTAAAATTCTTTTATTAACTATATTTATTTTTTACAAAACTGGAATTCTATTGATATTTTATCTGTGAAACATAATTCGTTTTTATTAATCAATTACATTTAGGTAGCTACATTAAATCTATAATAATGTTCTTACTTAAATTATATGATGTAATTGCATTTTTGAATTTATTTTTCCCTAATAAAATACACATAACACATATTATTCTTCAATAATTTATTACATTTTATTTGTATTTGTTTATGTTGCTTATTTAATATAACAAATACTTATTTATTTTAAATACTTTCATCACAGTATAACATTATTAATTAATTTTTTTTTTTAATTAACTCATGGCAACTTTAGGCCATTGGGTGGTTTTTAACTGTGTGGAGGGTACTGTAGGTTTAAACACGTGTGTTTGTTAGTTGGGCAGATTTTGTAGTGTGCACAAGTAGATATCTGCCATGTCCGAATGGGGGATGGCGGCACTTCTCTCTGGACACCGTGACTTGCCCGAAAAAAAATGCAGCACGCAGCCGAGGTTTTGAACTGGCGTCGGTGCGCCTTAGTCCTCTCGGCCACTCCGTCCCCCATTATTAATTATTATAAAATATTCATGATAGACAAATAGACAATCACCTATAATATAATATAATAAATAATAATAAAATGTATACTATCACTGGGAAAATGACAATAAGACCTCGGGACAATAAGACCGCGCGGTATTATTGTCACCTTTTTTCAACCTATGGTCTTATTGTCTCAATACGATGTTTTTTCAAAATGCAATTTTC